GGGGGAGGAGGAGGAGGAGGAGGAGGAGGAGGAGGAGGAGGAGGAGGAGGAGGAGGAGGAGGATTCTAGCGATGGATTCTAAAAGAGCGCCTTCAGGCGGCGCGAGCGACCACCGAGCCACCCCTGGTGAGAGCCGAAGCCAACACCAGGCACAGCAGGGGCCCTCCAGACACACTCATGCACCTACAGCTCACGGCGCCGCGGGAGGCGGCAAAGCTGGGCCTGGGTCGAGACACCCCCCGGCAAGTCCAGGTTTTTCCGGAAAATTCCTGGACTTCCCTGCCTGTGTCGGGGCACCCCGTGAAACAGCAGGGTTCCGGCTTGGGGCCGCCCCACTACTCGACCCACCCTCCGAAAACAACCAGGCCGCCGCCTCCTCCTCAGGATCGAGAGACGCAGCCTGGCTCGGCACTGTACTCGCTGCTCCTGGCCCTTCCGCCCCACCGGACCCCGCGGGACACGCTCCCCCACCAGCTTTGAGCTCTCGGCGGGCGGCGGCTTGCTGGACGGCCTCCTCAACCTCGGCCAGGAACGCAGCCTCGCGGATTGCCTTGGGGGCTCCTTCCCGTCTGGGATAGAGCCCCCTGGCAATCCTGGACAAATTCTCCCGCCCTTTGGCAGTCTTGCCAGGGCACTGCTTCTTCAGATATCTGAAATCAACCGTGGCCACACGGCCACACTTGTGGCAGTAGTGGAGGGAGTAGGCCCCCCACCACCCGCGCTTATGGGACGGGTGGATGTCAGCAGCAACCCCCTGCTGGGGCTCCCTGCTCGCACACGGCACCTGCGCTTCCCGACACTGCCTGGACTGCACTGGCACCTGGCACGGGGTAGCACAGAATTCAAGGAGGGAGGCATTATGAACAAGCTGCTGGCAGACACTGCATTGCCATTTCGAGCCGACTGGGCGAAGCGAGTGGGCCGAGCTCTCGATGGCCGCACGCCGTTTCGAGGGGGGGGCCACTCGCTGCTTGGCTACCCGCTCCGCCTTGGCCGCATCTACCTCGAGGGCCAGCTGGAGTGCCTTGCGGGCGCGTCGCCTCACCAAGGCCGCGGTCGCATCCCACTGGTCACCATGCTCGGCCGCGTGCACCGTGCCAACCTCCGACGCCCACTCCGCCGCCCTCCCCGCCCCAATATCAGCAACCGCGTTGCCGGCTGCCAGGAAGGCCTCGCGCTCCGTTCCGAGCTGCGCCCCATCGCATTCTGCATGGGACGGAACCCACTCGAGCTCCACAGAGCCCGTGCCACGGCTGCGCAACGCACGGCGAATTCGATGCCACAAATCTTCGTTGGCACCCCTCGAGTCCGTTTTGGAGCGCCTGGGCCAGGCCCTCAGGAGGGCCTGGTGGTCCGTGACAAACAAAAGGTCCCCCGTCGTGCCCTCGAGGGCCATGGCCAGGGCCAAGGTTTCCGACCTCGGAACAGACTGCTTGTGGCCGAGGAGAGGGACGGCCTTCATGCGGCCCAGCTTCCAGAACTGGCGATGCGGGCACCACTGGATGGTCGCTACCGCTGCTCCGCAGCGCCGCCGCCTCGGGTCGTCCGAGTGCTTCCCTCCCGACCCGTCCCCGAAGAACCACGGAGAAAGACCCAAGTCCCAAAACCTTGCGGTCAGCCCTGGCTCGCCACACGGTGGGTGTGGGTCACCGCACCGCTTGGCGGCCCCAGCGGCACGCATGCACCGTGACGTGCTTGGACTCCCTGCGGCGGGCCTCGCGCCTGCACCGCAAAAAGTCGCGTAGGCGTTCGGCCCCGAGGGTCGCAAGCTCAGCACCGCACCACGGGCCCAGCAGAGCCTGCCGAGCCCGAAGAGGAAGCGCACGGACGTAAAAGTTAGACGAACGAAGACAGGGCATGCCGAGAGCGGTCCTTCAAACTGTACCGGAACTTAGCGAGAGAGATAGTTGAGCTCCAGCTCCGGATGTGCGCGAGGCGAACCAGGCGAAAAGGTAGTCAAGCCGACGCAAGCCGGCGGAGGTGGTCAGCGTGAAGAAACGGTTCGAAGGGACAAGACTGACAGCCCTCGTAACGTCAATGTGATGCCGACTTGCAAACTAATTAAAAATAGCTGCCGAGCCGCCACGGACGACGAATGGATGGGAAACCCGAAAGTCCGAAATGGACGCCGCCTGTAGACAATGATCGTCGTATAGATGACCCAGCGCAAAAACGGTCCTCGTCAGCCTGCGCGCCCACATCAGCCTGCGCGCTCGAGTACCAGCCCGGCCGCTGGGCGGGGCCCAACATGTCGAGACCTCCCAGATGGGGTCCGACTAGGTGGGATCGGAGGATCGCGGCGCATCGCCGATACATTGCCGATGCATCGGCGACAACGGCGTGACATCGCCGATGCATCGGCGAAGCGGCGCGATCCTCCGACCCCATCAACTCCCCGCGGCGCGCCCGCGAGGAAATGAGGAGGAGGAGGCCTACTGGCAAGGGGTGCGAAGCCCACGGGCCTTCAGAAAGGAGGAGGAGGAGGAGGAGGAGGAGGAGGAGGAGGAGGAGGAGAAGGAGGAGGAGGAGGAGGAGGAGGAGCAGCAGGAGGAGCAGCAGGAGCAGGAGCAGAGGAGGAGGAGGGAGGAGGAGGAGGAGGAGGAGGAGAGGAGGAGGAGGGGGGGGAGGAGGACAAGCTAGGTGCGCTCGCGTCATATCTGACATCATACCCCTCCCTCCCATCCCTTACCATGGCGCAGATCCCCTCTCTACTCGCACAGTCGGATGTCGAGCAGGGCAATGATCCCGAAAGGGTACGCGATGCATTGTAGAGCACGGCATGGCATGGTGTAGAAGAGCACCGCAAAACGTAGCATCAACCTAGCATTCCATTGCATGCCGTGGCACGGCACGGGAAATGACGCCAGCGCTGCAGCGGGAGCACGATTCGGAACGAGCGGAAGCGCGGAAATGACGCCAGCGCTGCAGCGGGAGCACGATTCGGAACGAGCGGAAGCACGGAAATGAGGCCGGCGCCTCAGCGAGAGCAGCATTTTGAAGAAATGCAAGCGAAAACCCAACTCCAGGGAAACTTGTGTGTAAAAAACAATACGCGGGGGGGGTCGGACACTGTCAGGCCGTCATCAGGGGAAGAGAGAGAGTAGTATTCATATTGAGAAATTGTGGAGGAGGAGGAGGAGGAGGAGGAGGAGGAGGAGGAGGTGGATGGGGGGGGGGGCTGGGCAAGACGGGGGAGGAGCAGCTCCAGGCCCTGCGCCTTGAGGGCAGGCCTCCTGCGCGGAGCGCCAGTGGGTGCACGCCCACTATTCGCGAGCGCTGGCGATCCGCGCGGGTGCACGCAGCACCCGCTCCTGCACGTAGAGGCGCCGTATGTCTGCGAGTTCCCCGTCGTCGGTGCCGTCGGCGGTGATCCACTGAGGGGGGCGGCGGATGCGCGAGGGGGGAGGGGTGGCAGGGCAGCGATCACCTAGGAGGCGAAGTGGGCTGGAGGAGGAGGGAGCGGACCAGTATCAATGATGTTGCGAGAAGCCCTCCCTCCAGGTTCCCTCTTCATATGTCCCTGCAAGACTTTATGCTCGTTGCAGGAAGTGACCCAATTGAAAGACAACCATCCGAAAAACTCGGAATGAAATAACCTCATCCCTCCAGAATCCAAAAAGGGGAGATGCTTTGCCAGGACCAGAAAACAATCCGCCTGGCGAAAGACCAAACCAATTGCAGCTGCGAGTCACGCAGGGTATGACCATCTCCTCATAGGTAGCGCGCCGCGGGAAGGACGGGGCACGGAACATGCGGATGGGATACGAAACGCGTGAGAGGAAAAGTCGTTTGGGGAGGCGCATGCAAACGTAGACATTTGGGGCATTCGGTGGAGCTTCTTCTGGGGCCACGAACCGTGTGAGAGGTGCGCCGTAGTGGTGGGGGGGGGGCGCGTGCAGATGGTTCCAGAGGGGCTTTAGGCGGAGCTCCCTATGGAGCCACGACGCAGCATAAACATAAACTGTTGGAGGTCCGCGCGGACTTCTTGGATCTGCCCTGAACCCTCCTCCCTGGCGCGCAGAGCGCACTCGGGGCGGCGCTGGAGGCGCCGCCAGGGGGGGGCCCAACGCGGATCCTAGAAATCCGCGCGGACCGTCGAGATTTTATGCTTATGCGTTTTTGTTATTCGAGTAAAGGGCGGGGGAGACGCATGTGAACGTCGCCACGAGGGCCGTAGTCGGAGCTCCCCATGGGGCCCCGAGCCGTGCGAAGGGTGTGCCGCAATGGGCGGAGAAACCGCGCGCGGACCCTGCCGCTTAGTTCCTTCGGTGGAGCTCCCTGGGGGCCACGAAGCGTGTAATGGGGGTGCCGAGATGGGCAGGGAACCGCATGCGAACCCTGCCACTAGGGCCTTCGTTGGAGCTCCCCATGGGCCACGAAACGTGTGAGAAAGGTGCCGAAATGGGCGGGGAAGCGCATGCGGGCCCTGCCGCTGTGGCCTTCTGTGGAGCTTCCCATGGGGCCACGAAGCGGGGGGGTGCCGAGATGGGCGGGGACCGCATACGAACCCTGCCGCTGGAGCTCCCCATGGGGCCACAAAACGTGTGAGGGGTGCGCCAACATGGGGGGGAATTGCATGCGAGCGCAGTCGCTGGGGCCTGCGCTGGAGACATAGTATAGTGGACCAGCAGGGCAGGTTCTTCAGAGCCCATACCCCAGGAGCAGACAATGACATAGGCATAAACTGTCAGAGGTCCACGCGGATTCCTTGGATCGGCGCTGCGCCCCCCCGCGCCGCCCCTAGCGCGCTCCGCGTGGCAATGAAGGGGTTCCAGCGCTGATCCAAGAAATCCGCGCGGACCTCCGAAAGTTCATGATATGCCACCCGGTATATGAAGCCCAACCCAGGGGCACCCCACCCTCGCAGAGTCATGAACGCTATGATTGAATAATTACTTCTGTTCTGCCTGGCGGTGACTGGAAGCTATTCTTCTTGCTAGCCTGGCCCCTGGAGCCTGAGAGCGGCAGACCACCATGAGCCTGCGGATGGCTTTGGCACCATGTCGCTACTGCGCCGGTTATCGACAACGTTTCTTATCTTGCCCTCGCCAGCCACGTCGTCCTATGGCGGCAGAGGCTGAAGCAGGCGGAGGAGGTCCGCCTAAAGATAGGGCAGGAGGTCGATGAGTCCTCGCCCGCCCTCTCTTTTGTGCCCAGGCTGCCGGCCCTGAGGATGCCAGATGCTATCGTGTGCGACTGGCGAAGACGCAAGGGGGTGACACAGCCGAGCTGCCTCATGCCAGGAACGAGGACGCGTGCCCTCGATGTACGCAGGCTGCTTTGCGTACGCCACTGGAACAGACACTCTGTGAACGCAGCGCTCCAACACTCGGCTCACCCCAACACATTACGGCCACATCTTTGAAATTGATGAGCCAAGCCCCGCGCATCCTCACAGGGCCCAAGGCTGGATACTGAGGTTCCAGAAGGCGCCCTGCAGGCTCAACGTTCTGCACGCAGTGGCTATCTCTCTGTAGTGGTCGATCACGAGGCGACCCGAGACTATCAATACGCTTAACGCCACGCCATCCTGCAAGTACAACGAACTTGTTACAAACCTGGGATTGTGGAAAGCCCGTCCCGGGTCTGCGTCCCGGCAGTGCTACAGGAATCGCCCGAAAGAGGCCATACCGCCAAGCACGATGAAAGTGCAGATCCCACCGACTGGCAGAAGAAACGCATACCTCAGAGTGATACGAGAGAGGCGGATGAACATGCCCCAATGCAGTGGCGGTGCCTCCTTTATGCCCCAATGCAGTGGCGGTGCCTCCTTTCCTTACCCACGACCAACAAACGGATACATGTCACAATCACGGATCCTGGCAATGCCTCCAGGGCCGCGGCGCATCGAACTTCAGCTTCTTCGTGAGGATCTGCAGCCCCAGCGGCTTTCGGCAATAGAAGCGGTGATACTCTGAGACGAGACGCTCAGCCACGAGACCAAGCACCGTTCCTCCTGACACGTGGAGCCGCGGTAGAATACCACGAGCTGTCTGGCAGGGCCTCTCTGCGGCCAGGCACTCTGGCTTGGCGCGTCGACGCGGCGGCGCCCCGGCGGCACGCTCTGCCGCTCGGACGGGCAGAAGGTCGCTGCGCCCCAAAGGTGAAGGGGCCCCAGGACACACGAATAAATACACACAAATAAAAATAGTCCCCATATTTTCTCACATTTCCTGGGTTTCTGTCTTCCCCCCCACTTCCCATACTTTCCCATATCTTCTGGGAATCGATGAATAATTGTGTCTGTGTGTTTTTTCCCCTCCTAAAAAGGGGCGGGAGGCTGGGACAGGCTCGGGGCCGTGATGCTCGGGGACCGGGACGTGGACAGCCCTTGCTCCGAGGCATGGGTGGCCATCGCCGGCGGAGCGCCGCGCCACAGCACAGAGGCCGACCGTAATATTCAGTTCAGGGGTTTTCGCAGGCTCTCCAGGGTACTCCGAGGCTTCCGAGGCGGCCCAGGACGGCCACCACTGCCGCCACGATCGCACCCGAGAGCCCACAAGGAGCCACCAATCAATCCCAAGAGGAACCCAGTATGCCCCAAGACACCCCAAATACGCATTCCAGAGGGCCATCGAGAGGCCAACGAAGATGATCTCCCTTGAGGTGTTTCAGTGTTGTTCGCGTTCCACGCAACTCGGCGAAGGTCGGCCTTGCTGCATTCGAGGGGCAACGGAGCACAACGATAGCCCCGAGCGGGTCACCAGACGGCCAGGGACGGCCGCAGGGGAGCCCCGAGCGGGCCAAAGATGAGGGACCCCCAAGACTGCCCCACAGGAGCCCAAGAGACATCCCCACGACGGCCCAGATAAACCCAACGAGAACGCATCAAGAAGAGAAGGCGAGCGGTGTCACATGAAACGGGCGCTTGGGCGGTGCTCGAAAGGTCACCACGCAAAGTGCTTCGCCGGCACGGAGGCAGATTTGCCGCAGGCAACTGGATGAAACTCCAACGAACAAGAATCCAACGTAATGAGCAGACACCGCCACATACCTCCAGGAACCTGCAAAAATAAGCTCGGCCAGGCTGCGCAGCTGACACACTGGTCACCGAACCACTCGAGGCGGCCGACATGACGCTGGTCAGACAGCAGCAAGGACGTCTGTGATTTGCGAACTGACTCCAGCTTTGCCATTGAAGCGTCTGCTACTTGCATATCACCCTCGGCGACTCCCTGTTCGCGGCTCGCGGAGCAGGAAGCTCACCAGCGAGCCGATTCTCAAAACGAACGTAGATGCCCACTCCCAAGCCAATGCGTTGTCTTCCTCCCGCAGATGCCCACCCCCAAAACAGAGCAATTCCCGGCAACTGAGACCAGTGCCTGAAAGATGGGGAAGGGCCGAGGACGGTTGCCGAGTCCATGTGGCTCGCCAGGGGAATCCACCACCGTACCTGAAGCACATCGTGGCATTGCACATGGCCCATGCATTTCTGAATGCTGAGAGACCTCGGGGTGCGGCACGAGAGACGAGAACCCGAACTGTCGAAAGACGCTCACGTGCCATAATTACCTGACGGCTTCAGATGCGATTCGATATTCGACCAAGACTGAATGGCTGTTGCTCCCATCGCTTCCGCGCCCACACTCCTCGGCCGACAGCTTCTCCAGCTGCTCAATAACCTCTGTACGAAGTGCTCGATCTGGGACCAAAGACCAAACCGCCAAGGGCTCCATGCTGAGGGGGTCTACGCTTCGACGCCGAAGCCACTGCAGCAAGGTTGCTTGGTCGTAAGTGTGACCACTGGAATTATGACAGCAAGCTCCATGATGCGGTGCGAGATCCGACAGATCAACTGCGACGGCACGAGCTCTTCCAACTCCGGCGCCAGCCCGGCCGGCTCGGTGGCGGCAGCATCCATGGCGCCACTTGAGCTCATTATTTTCGCCCGTGCAACGGCAGGCTGCACCACTCAGAACCTTGGCTAACGAGCCGAATGTGCTTGGATAGCGACATCGGATGCTCCAGCTCTGATGGCGGTAGAAATGGCGGTAGCATCAGAGAAGAGAACCCAGAGGCGACATGCTGGAGATCAAGCAGCTATCAACAAAACAGGGCAGACTGCGACAAGCTGCCACTACACCGCTGTGGCACGGAAACTTGCATCTGATCTATGACGCGAAGCGGGAGATCCCAATCCTAGAACGCGAAGCGGGATACCAGTGTCCCCAGGGGGGCACGGGCACACTTTGGGCCTGGAGGCCGCGGCGTGCAATCCTCATTCGTCGAAGGCACGAGGTGGGATCCCCAGAGAGAACCGCCACACTTGGGGCCTGGCGGCCGCGGTATGTAGGGTGTGCAAGGTGGGTCGGGAGCTCTTCTAGTCGCAGTCTTACTTAGTAACCCCAACCTGTCGCAAACGGACAAATTCCTAAGACCTGTGATGATCCGACCACTTTTCAGATTTCCTAGCATGGCACACGGCTGGCGATCTTCGGCCGGATAGCTTCGGTCCCATGCATTGGTCTAGCTCTGCGACTTCGAAGAGGGTTTGAAACGTACTCCAAGCCAAACCGTGTAATCCCACCAGCCCTCTGGGCTGAGGTGGTCTACAGCGTGTCCCCTTGCATTATCTTTCTTCCCCCTCAGGGGAGGAGTTTACTCCTCCCCCTACCCCCTCCCCTGGGTCTGGAGGGGAGGCGCCGCGAGGTGTCAGGAGGTCTTTCTTGGCCTCAGATGGCTCCAAGAGGCTTCAAGGAACCCAAGACTGAACTACAAGACGGCTCCAGATAACGGCAGATGGCTTTCAACAGAATCCAAGAGGTCAAAAAACCTTTCCACGACGGCTCCAAGAGAAAACGAAGCCTTCCAAGGCGGCCCCCAAGAGGCCAACATGCTTCAAAGACCTCAAGAATGTGCATGATAGGTGTCCTCTCGCCCTTTTGCTTCTGACGGCTCCCTCCTCCTCCTCCTCCTCCTCCTCCTCCTCCTCCTCCTCCTCCTCCCTGTTCCCCCTCCCTCTCTTCGCCCCCGCCCCCCCCGCCCTCCCCACCCACAAGGCTGGCGCCGGCCCCCCCCACCCGCACGGCTGGCGCGCCCGCTGCCGAGCGCAGGGGGGGGGGGACGCCCGGCGCCGGGCCCCGCGGGCCGAGGCCGCGCGGGCCCGGGGCCCTGCGCCGCGGTGCGCCCCCTGGCGGGGCGCAGCCTCCCCCCCCTCTGACGGGGGATTTTGCCGACCCCTCTCCCAGGCTTCGCGGGGCGAAGCTCCCCCCTCTGACAGGGCATGTGTCGACCCCTCTCCCGAAAGCTTCGCGGGTCCTCCGCATGGGCCAAACGTTTGGGGCCCAAGCCTGGGATAACCCGTGGGTTTTATACACTGGGGGGGCGCCCGGCCTCGAGAGGCGCGCGCCCGCACAGACCCCACGGGGTGAAGCCGAGGGCCCCCCCTTGTTGCTGAGCGATCACACCTTTCGGGCAGAACTCGGGGCTTGGGGAGAAGAACCTCCTGCGACCCTTCCCTTCTCGTTGCAGCGGCCCCTGAAGGGGTAACCTCATCCTGACAGACCACGGACACCCGTCCCAGGGCCGCGTCATACACGCTCCTTCCCCCCACCCCTCCCCATCCCCCTCCTCCGATGTTTCCTCCATCAGCCCCCTTTTGGGGTATGACGGCTTCCCGGCCCTGCATTCCACGGCATGCTCCTTCACACCCCTGATCAGGGCCGCTCGCATAGGCATCTTTTCCAGATGGGCTGGCAGGGTTACTTTTTGTCGGCAGCCGCGAGCGAGAGCGCAACAGCGGCGAGTCAAAGTCCAGGCGGGCCGCGCGAAGGGCTCATTAACCAAGCAGAAGCAGGCCTAACATCGCCACTCAAAATGGGACCAGGAAGTCGCTGAAGAGGAGGCGGGGCTGCAACACTGCCCGGTGGTGCAACCGTGCAACGAGCTGCTGGTGCTGGCTGCCAGGGTGACCGACTGCCAGAGTCTGCAAGCTGCTAAAGAATTAGGAAGTGGCCGAAGAGGGGACGGGGCTGCAGCACTGCCAGGTGCTACAAACGTGCAACGATCTGCAGGGGGGGTGCTGACTGCCAGAGTAACTGACTGCCAGGGTCTGCAAGCTGCCGGAGGTGAATTGAAATGCAGGGGCGTGCACTGCAAATTAGCCAACCAAAGTTGGGCCGCTGCCAAATGAAGCGGCCAATGGGCTGGCAGGGTTACTTTTTTGGTCGCAGCCGCAGGCGAGAGCGCAAGCGGCGAGTCGTAAGTCCGGGGCGCGGGCCTACTAATTAAAACAGGGGCAGGCTAGAGCGGCGTAACCTAAACAACTAGCTGCCTAAACGTCGCCTCAGGTAGGCTGCAAGCTGCACTGGCTGGCAGGGTTACGCGAAGCGTCTAGAATTCATCGCCCGGGGTGCGCTTTCACGCGGAGTAGCTGCTACTCCGCTTCCCTAGCAAGATCGGAGCAAGTGCCAATCACAGTTGATGAGCACGTTCAGGCACGGCGATGGCTTGCGTAATCGAGCGGCGGATGGCTACGATGGTAAGCTGTCGTATGCAGTGATGCGTGGCGCTGCCCTGTGACGCAGCCAGTTGAAGTGTTGCGCTATGGTGATGTACTGTCTCAGGGCGGGAAGTGCTCAACCGTCGCGCGCTGCGCTGTTCAACACTGCACGGAGATTCCACCAGCCCTCTGGGTGTGTGTGGTGTTGCGGATTCACTGTTCCAGAAAATAAGCCTGTCAAAAGACCCAACCATATGAAATCAGGAGTACCGTCGATGTGAGTATCGCCTTCGGCGGATCTCCTCCTGGGGCCACGAAGAGCGTGACGGGCGTGCCGAAATGAGGCGGGGCCGCCATGCGGGCGCTGCCACTGGGGCCTTCGAGCACCGCGTGGAACATGAAATGAGGGAGGGGGGCCAGCAGCAGGGGCCTCCGGGGCCTTCGGCGGAGCACGCCGCGAAACGTGTGAGAGGTGCACCGGGATGGAGGTGGAACCGCATGGGGGCGCTGCCATTAGGGCCTCAGGTGGAGCTCCCTATGGGCCCACAAAACGTATGAGGGGTCCCCGAAATGGGGGTGGAGCCGCATGCGGGCACTGCCCTTGGGCCTTCGGTGGATCTCCCTACGGGGCCACGAAACGTGTGAAGGGTGCGCCGGAATGGGAGTGGAACTGCATGCGGGCGCTGCCGCTGGAGTCTTCAGCGGAGCTCCCCATGGGGCACGAAACGTGTGAGGGGTTCGCCAAACTTGAAAGTGAGACCACATGCGGGCGCTGCCAATGGGGCCTTAGCTGGAGCTTCCTGTAGGGCCACGGAACGTGTGAGAGGTGCACCGGAGTAGAGGTTAACAACATAACTCGTAGAGCTTCCCTTAGCAAGTTATTGCTGGAAGCTTGAGAGTAATTCCAGCGCGCTGGAGAGCTAGTTGGCAAGAAAAATCTCGACGGACCTTTTGCTGACTTTTCGTCGGTTGAAAATTTGATTTTCGAAATTCCTCAATTCGTTTGAGCTCTAGTGTTTTTCCCGTGATATTCGATCTTATTCCCGCTCGCCATCTTGATTTCAGCTCGATCGGGTACCTTTTACTGCCAAGAAGCGTCCAGGCGGGATCGGCCGCTTCGAGTCATCTTGATACGCGCTCTCGGTATGTTGGACTTAACTCGAGATAGAGGACAGCTACAGAGCTGGTAAGCACACCCTATCGATTCAGAATGATCAGGCGCGCTCGTCTGTTGCATCCAGAGGTCTGAACTGGGTCTGCTAGCCGAGCTAGGTTCGCAAACCTATTCGTATTATTCGAGTCATCTTCACAGGCGTTCTCGGTTTTCTGTACTTAATTCGAGCCATATGACAGCTACAGAGCTGATATTTACAGAAACCGATTCAGAATCATCAGTCGCGTTCGTCTGTTGAATCCAGAGCTCTGAACTCGGTCTGCTGCCCGATCTAGAATCGCAGAACTATTTGTATTGTTCGAGTCATCCTGAGAGGTGCTGTCGGATTTCTGTACTTAACTCGGGCTGAGGGGGGCTACAGTGCTGGTAGTCACAGGAATCGATTTGGAGACATGAGGGGCGTCCGCCTGTCGAATCCAGAGCTCGGACTTCGGTCTGCTGCCCGAACTAGGTCCGCGAAACTATTCGTATTGTTTGAGTCATCCTGAGAGGTGCTGTCGGTTTTCTGCACTTAACTCACGCTGTAGGGGGGCTGTAGGGCTGGTAACCACAGGAATCGATTCGGAGACATCAGACGCGTCCGCCTGTCGCATTCAGAGGTCTGACCTCGGTCTGATACTCGAGCTAGGTTTGCCAAACTATTCGTATTGTTCGAGATCTTGAGAGGTGCTGTCGACTCACGCACGTAACTCGGGCTGTAGGAGAGCTACAGAGCTCGTACAGAAGACAATCCAGAAGCATCGGGGGCGTTCGGCTGTTGCATCGAGAGGTGTGAAATCGCGTGGGCTGAAAAACTACACGTTCTCTGCATTTTTTCGACATTATATATTCTCAGGAAGCTCTACGAGTCCCCCGGCGGTAAGAAAGGTTGACGGTTTACCGCCGGCGCCCAAAGGTCGACCCACGAACCCAGAAACGAATATAGACATGTAAGGCATGGCAACGTTTCGAAGACACCTGATTGGGCGGCGGGCAAATACAATGCTGAATGTATCGATCTTGATGTACCGTGCCGAGGACTGTGCTGTGCTGCGCCGTGCGTGTTGCGATGTGCCATGCCGCGATTGTGCTCTATAGCGTTGTGGATCGAGTCCTCCTTTGCATCCGAGTCCTGACCGAACTGCTCTGCATCTTAAGTTCGAGCTGCATGAGCACATCGTAGCTGCCCCAGAGCTAATTGACAGGGGGGCATGCCAGGAGGACGCGCCGCGGAACGTCCCAAAGGACGCGCCAGGCGACGTGCCAGGGGACGTGCCATGGGGATGCACCGCGGGACGTGCCAAGGGGACGCGCTTCGGAACGTGCCAATGGATGTGCCACAGGACGCGCCAGGGGACCTGCCGCGCGACGTGCCAGGGGGACTTGCCACGGGACGCGCCACGGAACGTGCCAGGTTGCAATGCTGAGTTTATCGATCTTGATGTACC